CCGTGTCCCCACCAAGCGCGCTTGCGACGTACGTGGGATCACGAGCATGGCCTCCCCAGATGACCGGAGCGAGCGTGTGGGTTCGTAGATGGAGATGCGGTCACGCAGGTAGGGTGGTCCCAAACCGTTCAGGGCTTTGTAGGTGAGCACCTGCACCTTGAATTGGGCTCAGAAAATAAATGGCAGCCAGTGGAGCTCCTTGAACAGGAGGGTTGACCTCTCTCTGTAAGGAGCGCCAGTTAGCATCCTAGCTGCTGCCCGCTGAACCAATTGAAGTTTCCTAGCCGTCTTCAAGGGCAGCCCCACGTAGAGCGCATTGCAGTAATCCATTCTAGAGGTGACCAAGGCGTGGACCACCCCGGCCAGATCAGCCTTCACGAGGTACGGTTGCAGTTGGCGCACAAGTCTCAATTGTGCAAAGGCCCTCCCAGATACCACCGACACCTGAGCCTCAAGTGTGAGCGAAGAATCCAGGAGGACACCCAAACTGCGGACCTGTGGCTTCAGGGGGAGTGTAACCCCGTCCAACACAGGTAGCCACCCTATACCCCGGTCCGGTTTACGATCGACCAGGAGGACCTCTGTCTTGTCAGGATTGATCTTCAGCTTGCTCTTCCTCATCCAGATCGACACAGCTGCCAGGCACTCGTTTAGCACCCGAGAAGCCTCCTTGGAATTAGGTGGAAAGGAGTAGTAGAGTTGTGTGTCATCCGCATAAAGATGGCATCCAACTCCAAAACTCCGGATGACCTCTCCCAGCGGTTTCATGTAGATGTTGAAAAGCATGGGCGACAGAATGGAGCCTTGTGGGACCCCACAGGTCAAAGGCCAGGGGTCAGAGCAGGCGTCTCCCAGCTTCACCATCTGGGTTCGTCCCTCCAGGAAGGACCGGAGCCACGACAGAACCGCGCCCCCGACAGAACCGCGCCCCAAGAGAGGAGATTCCATCTGAACATGAGGAAGAACTTCCTGACTGTAAGGAGAGCCGTTCAGCAGTGGAACTCTCTGCCCCGGAGGGAGTGTGGTGGAGGCTCCTTCTTTGGAGGCTTTTAAACAGAGGCTGGATGGCCATCTGTCAGGGGTGATTTGAATGCAATATTCCTGCTTTTTGGCAGAATGGGGCTGGACTGGATGATGGCCCAGGAGGTCTCTTCCAACTCTTGGATTCTATGATTCTAAGCAGTTTGAAAACAGCTGAGCTATGAATAAAGAAATTAGGCACCGCTTAAGCAGGGAGGTATATATGGAACCAGAACAAGAACAAGAACAAGAAGGAAAAAGTCTGTGATCAAAGAGCTTGTTGTTATAGCGGATGGAGCGACAGCACCCCCTGTGGCCGGAATCGAGCATAACCTCCAGGTGCTGAAGCTGGAAAATGCTGATATATCTCTATCTGTTTGTCTGTCCTGTATGTTTAAAATGACATTGAATATTTGCGTGTTGTGTTTTGTGATCTGTCCTGAGTCTCCTTCAGGGTGAGAAGGGCAGAATATAAATACTGTAAATAAATAATTAATAACTAAACCCCACTGGTTAAAAATCAATAAAATGCAGCAATAGCTGCAAATATAAAACAAACTACAAACAATATCAGTCTAATAAAATGCAAGGTGGTAGAATCTCTTGGTCCTCGAATATGTTCGTCCAGGATTTCTAAACATGGTTTAAGCTTGTCTAAAAAGCCAGAAGGCTTGGAGGGTGGGGGCTAGCCTGATCTCTCATGGGAGGGCATTGCAAAGTTGGTGGGTCACCACCAAGAAGGCACTCTCTCTTGTCCCCACCAACCACACTTGACATGGAGATGGGACCAAGAGGAGGACCACCTCAGTGGATCTCAGAGCCCACACCAGTTTGCAGACCCAGACCAGAATGAGACCCAAACCAGAAATAATGCAAGCCATGTAACAAGGTAAATTTTAAGACCATTCTTTTTCAAAAAATTATAAAAACTCAAAAATTATACCTCAAAGTCTCAAAGTCCATCATTATTATACCCCAAAGTCTCAACGTCTCTAAACCCAAAGTACACCATTATTTAAAAAAAAATATATGTACAAAACCAGAAAAAAATACAACCCAATGACATCCTTAAAAATCTAGGTCGATAAAAGTCATATATTGATTTCATTTTCATAAATATATTTCTTATGCTATTTCCTCTTTTAAATTGATACAGTGTGGCATTATATTGACAATGAAATACATTTTTGATTTAGATTTTATTCATGTTCTGTCTTATTTCCTGATGTTTCTAGCTATTATGTATATATTAAAATAAAGGAATATTGTATACTCCATACATATAATGTATGTTCTATGCAAATCTCCATCAATTTGCATAGAACGTCCATTATATTGCTTTTAAGCACAGTTTGATGGCTCTAATTCAGATCTCAAGTTCCTTTATAAAAGCAGTTGTCGGTAATACAATGTAATGCACTGCAGTTCATAATTACATAGGTTGAGAAAGACGATTAAATGTCAAGCAACTGATAGATTGCGTTTTTGTTTCCAAACAATTCAAGGCACCAACGTCACGCGTTGTATTGTTACAGGCAGATACTTGCATTTTATTCTTGGATAAGAATAAAATGCGGCAAAATAATGAATTATATAGTACTGTACTGTAAAAGAGAATATTGTTTAATGCGGTGTGTATAAAAATAGTTTAAACATCATATTTCCCTTGGAAAAGAGTTCAGTACGCCAATTTCTTACATTGCATGGGTCTAGAAAAAAGGATTGCATGTAACACAGCTGAATGGATCAGAGTGGAAATGGAAGTACTTCAAACAAAACATTGCCTTCAAAAAAGAGCTTAATGCTCTTTTTCATTGCAGAAATGATGTTGCATGCAACACGGTTCATACATCACATTGCGGTATAAATATAGGTGGAGAGAGTGCTGTTAATGTATTTTCTTTTAGAAAGCCAAGTAACAGAGTGTCAGGTAACGTAGCATCCATTACTTTGCTTCAGTCATGAATGGGGAAAAGTGGGAATTTTTGTATTCTACTTTAATAATAGCTTTGTGTAACAGCAGGCAGGAAAAAAATGAAATGTGAAGATATTTATTTATTTATTTATGGCATTTCTATGCTGCCCTTCTCACCCCAAAGGGGACTCAGAGCAGCTTATACATACAATATATTACTTTCACTTTCATCATTTGGAGCCACGGAGAAGAAGAACTCAATGGGTTCCTGGACCATCTTCACAGCATCCACCCAAACATCCCGTTCACCATGGAAAAAGAAAAGGAAGGAAGACTGCCTTTTCTAGATGTCCTAGTCATCCTCAAACCAGATCCACAATTGGGCCACACCGTCTACAGAAAACCCACACACACAGATAGAGATCTACACAAAAACTCCAACCATCACCCAAGTCAAAAAAGAAGCCCCATTAAAGCCTTGGCAGACCGTGCAAAAAGAATCTGCGAACCCCACCTCCTCCAAGATGGACTGAACCACCTCAACTGGGCTCTACAGGCCAATGGATATTCCACCTCAGACATCGGAAGAGCTGCAAGACCAAGAACAAGCCATGAGAGTCAAGATGAGGATCCACCCAGAGGAAAAGTGTTCCTGCCATACATCAAGGGAACCACTGACCGCATAGGGAAGCTGATGAGGAAACACAACATACAAACAATCTACAAACCCACCAAGAAAATCCAACAAATGCTACGTTCAGCAAAGGACAAGAGGGATCCTCTCACCTCTGCAGGAGTCTACCATTGTATCCCATGCAGCTGTGGACAAGAAGTCTACAGAGGGACCACCAAACGCAGCAATGCCCAAACAAGAATCCAGGAACATGAAAGGCACAGCAGACTGCTTCAACCAGAGAAGTCAGCCATAGCAGAGCACCTGATGAACCAACCTGGACACAGCATTTTATTTGAGAACACAGAAATGCTGGACCACTCTCACAACCACCATGTCAGACTACACAGAGAAGCCATTGAAATCCACAAACATGTGGACAATTTCAACAGAAAGGAAGAAACCATGAAAATGAACAAAATCTGGCTACCAGTATTAAAAAACTCTAAAATTGCAACAGTACAACAACAGAGAGGAAGGAGGCAGGGACATCTAATCACCTCTCAACAAAAGTTTTCCCTAGGCACAGTCAGGCCATTGTATGCTAATCAAGGTGGTCAGTTGAAACATTCACACCTAGCTCCAGCAG